GAGCGTCTGGTCGACAAAATAAATTAATTTGGCTTATTAAACTGTGTATTCACTTCTTACCCATTCACATTGTGGCGATGAGAATCTCCCGCGCGAGGACGGCGGCCCGGCAGGGCTCAGCTCGCATCCCTCCGTCTGCAGCTGGTTCGTGATGTGCGGCGACGTGCTGCTCGGCCATGGGGATGTGGTGCAGGTGTGCCACATTGTGGAGGACGCCACACGCCATCACAATGCGGCACACCTTCTCCGGACGATACAGAAGCACGCCGCCACTCCGGTCCAGACAGCGCCACCGACCCTTTAACTGGCCGATGGCCCTCTCCACCACTGACCTAGAGCGAGAGTGGAGATGGTTGTACCTCCGCTCTCGGTCAGTGTGGGGGTTGTGGAGAGGGGTCATCAGCCAGGTCCTGAGGGGGTAGCCACTGTCACCTTCAGAAAAAGCACAGTGTGTTAAGTCTTGGGCTTGATGCGTTGTAATAATAGCAAGCAATAAGCAATCAATAACCCACAACATCCATCGAGTACTTGCAATCAAACACAGAGTACAATACATCAGCGTTGCACACATTTGGTTCAAGTCACTGATGCACGTCAAGTTTCTTGAATAACATTATATCATTACATATTTACTCACCCAGCAGCCACCCGTCTGTCACTGCACCTGCCTGGAGCCTCTCCCCAACAGTGCTGTTGTACAGGATGTGCGAGTCGTGCGTTGAACCGGGCCACCTCGCAACAATGTTGAGCAGATTCATCTGCGCATCACAGATGATCTGCACATTGATGGAGTGAACGCCTTTACGGTTGACGTAGGCGTACTCGTCATCAGACGGCGCTTTTATGGCAACATGAGTACAGTCAATAGCTTCGATTACGTTTGGGAATCCAGCTATTGCTGCAAATTGCGTTTTAATATTGGCCTGTTCAACCGCACCGTAGGGAAATTTAATGTACCTGTGAGAGAGGCGGATCAGCTGGTCCACAACCGTGGGCATGGCCCGGCTGATGGTGGGCTGGCTCACCCCAGAACGGTCCGCCATCTCCCGCTGGAAGGACCCTGTGGCCAAGAAGCCGAGTGTGCCCAGCACCAGCGCTGGCACAGGAACCGCTCGGCTTCTGGCCGTTGATCGCTGGAGCGCCGGGCGGAGCTCCTCGCACAGCTCCAGGAGGATGGCCCTGAACCGGCTCATGAGCCACTCGTCGGTGTTCTGGAGCAGGTCCTCCCGCTCCATAAAGTGACGCTCGCGTCGGATGGCACGGTTTTCTATGTCTTCTATCAGCGCAAGTGCTGCCATTGTTAAATGTTGTCTTCTCTATTTGTAGTTGTAGTTGTATGCGCTCTTTTATAGCCCCTCCAGTAATACCGACAGGTGTTCGTGTTTGTGTTAATGTGTTACAAACAGTGTTGTTTTCGTCAGGCAGGACGAAAACTTAAATGACGACGTCAGACCCCTTTTTTCCTTGACGAAAATGAGACTAAGACGAACGTCACCAAAGCTCTGTAAAGACTAAAATGTGACGAAAATTATATTCATTTTCGTCAGACGAGAACGAGACGAGACTAAATTGTTATTAGGTGGACGAACAAAGTTTCAAAACATGATTTTTTTTGTCCTAACAGTCACGCCCCCATCACACACGCACCAAAAGCCTCGCTCGCGCACAGCTGCGCGCACACACTCATTCACATACACAGAGCGGCAGGTGGACGAGGCGCGCACACACACACACACACACCGTGGTGGCAGGCACAGCAGCGGTGCCCGGTGGCCGAAAAAAGAAGCAGTTCCTTAAAATTACTAAGACTAAAACTAAATCTAAAATGCCTGCCAAAAACAACACTGGTTACAAATTAACACAATTAACACACGAACAGCTGTCGGATTAACAGTTAATCCACTGCAATGTGTGAACGCTTGTCACATAGTGAGTCACTAAACACCGCCACACAGCGTCGCCAAAGTGCCGTCAACGCAAGTATCGGCTCAACGCCAACTTCTACACCACCTCCTCACTTTGCGTTGATTAGCGCTGGAACCGACGCTCGTGTCGCGATGATAAATCTGGACGTGACGTGTGCGCCGATTTTGGCGTACACAAGGTTTTCTGGCGCCGCCAGCGTTGATACATAAGGTCCCTGGTCTCTGCTTACCAAAATATTTGAGATCACTGAAAAGTGTAGCAGAGACGACCAGTTTCTCATCCCAACCCCCCCAAAAGAATGTAAGGCTTACATCTACTCACCAGAGACAAGATGGTGTAAACCTTTGACACCAAATCACAATCCTTCTACAACCAACTGTCTCTATACAAGATAACTTAAGAAGCCTTCCCAAAAGGACAAAACTTCTATCCTTTTTACTTCAAAGAGACAAAGACTTTGGGCTCTATTTTCCAGAGTGGCGGACCCCGCGCAGTGGTATTTTCATCTGGCGGAGCACGGCGTACAGCCAGGTTGGTATTTTTGTGGACTGAGGCGCACCAAGGTCCGCCAAGCTGGCCGTGGTGGCGTGGCAGAGGGAGGTGTCGCAGTGACAATTTCCTGCTCGCCGGTGGCATATTCAGCGCAGGCGGAGCGCAGCTGGTCTAGTGGTATTTTGGTACACCGGCGGTGTAGTGCGCATATGTCACTGATGCCTCACCGGCAGGTTTCCACAGTGTCAGGCACATTTCAGTGCAATAAATAATCATCAACAACTATTAATCTGAGTCAGCACATACATTTAGATCTATAAAGATATATTCTGATCTATATCTGATCTGATGAGCGCGTTTTGCACGCATTTGGACACACAACCTGACCGAATCAACACAGCTGAAACTGCATCAAATTAAATTAAATCTCTAGTAAATAGACACACATGATGAAGTTAACAAGATATGTAATTCGTCTCCCTCCTTTTCTTTCTTCCTCTTCCTCTTATTTCTCGCATAGCTCGACCTGGACATGTGTCTGTGTCCTCTCCCCGTCCTGCTGCAGCTGCTGTTGCGGCGGAACAGATGATTTATTTTAGTGATCAGATGAGTTATTTACTTTAAGCCTACATACGAATATTATAATATTCAGTTTTGTGAGTCAAATTTATTTTATATGCCAACATCTAAGAAAGAAAAGCCAGGCCGTGGAGCGCGATGCGTCATTACGCACAGATGGTTATGATTTTAATGCCATTTTTGGAATTTATGTTGTGATCTGTGCACACAACCCACCTTTGTCACGTGAGGTTTGAATTTATGCAACTTTATGTGAGTGTCTTTATTTGTGGAAAAGGGTGTTTGTCTTACTAGTGGCTCCAACATTACACACACCAAATCCATCTGTGCTTGTATGAGAGAGTGTGAAGGACACCCTCTGCAGCGTTTACAGCAACACTTGTTGAGGGGCTGCCTTCAGTCGCCATTGTGTGGCATTACTGTCTTCAGACATCTCTTGATCTCTTTGACTACTTCACGAAAATTGTAATACACCTCTCCGGTGGCGGATTTAAAGGCAAGGAGAGGCACTGATGTTGTTGGTCAACACAGGTCTCGGCTGTGTTAAACCCACTCCACGCCCTCTCTCCTCCCTCCCTATGACTTACGCCGCTGGGAGGAACTGAGTTAGGGAGGGGGAGATACTTACGCCGGGCTGCACCGCTCACCAAAATATCAAATTTTGCTTGGGAACGCCTTGTCGGCACGGCGGACCTAACTTATGCAGTGGCACGTCTCCGGCGAGGCACGAAAAAAGAGCCCTTAGTTTATGGCCAGCAGGAAAGAACTGCAGGACCACTCAATCAGATAAACATCTGTCATCACACCTTTATCAGCTCAGCCATAAATCCTACCTTTGGTAGATCTTTCCCATGCTCTCTGGGAGTACAGTCGAAAGAGAATAACTACAACTAGTCCAATTACAGGTTGGATGGACACTACACCATGATCTTCTGTTAGTACTCAACATGTGCAGTAAAACAGGCTTTGTCCCATCTGCCAATCATGTTCATAAGCCAAGATCTCACACTGACAGAATAAATCCTTCAGTCACAAAGTTCCTTGAGATCAACAACTTCCCAAACTGTTTCATGAACTTTTAAGAGCTGAAGTTATTATGTTTGAATTACAACCCTATTCTAGAAGGAATAGTGTAGAAATGTCTAGTTTATCTCTTAATCATTTGTTTAGCTTTGTGAACCATTAGGTAGTTATACTGTTAGTTAATAATCTGAATGTTGGTTTATAGAATCCATTATTAACTAAGTTCATTTACATGTGTTTACCCTTGTGTTTTTGCAGTTCATATGTGTTACTATCTTTTTCATTTCAGCTTAATTTAACATGATTAATGTTCTTTGAAAAGTGATACTCAAAGCATAATGAGAATGTTTGGTGATGTGATTCTACAATTCTTTATGTGTTTAATATCAAATCCTATATTGTGAACCAAGCATTCCTTAACATTAATCATAGTGAGTGAGTATTCGATCTGACTCCTTTACGAGCCAAGTATAAGTTGGATCAAACAACCGGGGCCATTGAAAGTCTCCTCTCAGGAAGCTGCAGCTAGAGATCAGGAGCCCCCCCCCCCCCTTTTCTCTCCTCACACCTCAGAGACACTCCCAGTCTGAAGAGTATAACACCAGTAAAGCTGGGGTGCTCACTCTGTTGAAAAATTTCCTCTTGGTTTTTTTTTTACTCTTGCCTTTTGCTCGATACACCCTTGTTTTTCCTTTTTTCTGCTAAGCTCCCTCTTAGCTTGTTTTTTCTTTGTCTTAATTTTTTTCCTTAGTCTTTTAAGTTTTCCGCCACATGTTCATTCACGTTGATTTTTCTTTTACATCATCTTAGTTCAAGTTGTGAAACTAACTTTTTTATCTTTACACCAGAGTTAATGCAAGTTAATATATTAGAGCACATTCACTCACTATCATTAACTTAAATAATCCTAGCCTGACTCTTTCATTCATCTGTTATTATCTACACTCACCGGCCACTTTATTAGGTACACCATGCTAGTAACGGGTTGGACCCCCTTTTGCCTTCAGAACTGCCTCAATTCTTCGTGGCATAGATTCAACAAGGTGCTGGAAGCATTCCTCAGAGAGCTTGGTCCATATTGACATGATGGCATCACACAGTTGCCGCAGATTTGTCGGCTGCACATCCATGATGCGAATCTCCCGTTCCACCACATCCCAAAGATGCTCTATTGGATTGAGATCTGGTGACTGTGGAGGCCATTTGAGTACAGTGAACTCATTGTCATGTTCCAGAAACCAGTCTGAGATGATTCCAGCTTTATGACATGGCGCATTATCCTGCTGAAAGTAGCCATCAGAAGTTGGGTACATTGTGGTCACAAAGGGATGGACATGGTCAGCAACAATACTCAGGTAGGCTGTGGTGTTGCAACGATGCTCAATTGGTACCAAGGGGCCCAAAGAGTGCCAAGAAAATATTCCCCACACCATGACACCACCACCACCAGCCTTAACCGTTGATACAAGGCAGGATGGATCCATGCTTTCATGTTGTTGACGCCAAATTCTGACCCTACCATCCGAATGTCGCAGCAGAAATCGAGACTCATCAGACCAGGCAACGTTTTTCCAATCTTCTATTGTCCAATTTCGATGAGCTTGTGCAAATTGTAGCCTCAGTTTCCTGTTCTTAGCTGAAAGGAGTGGCACCCGGCGTGGTCTTCTGCTGCTGTAGCCCATCTGCCTCAAAGTTCGACGTACTGTGCGTTCAGAGATGCTCTTCTGCCTACCTTGGTTGTAACGGGTGGTTATTTGAGTCACTGTTGCCTTTCTATCAGCTCGAACCAGTTTGGCCATTCTCCTCTGACCTCTGGCATCAACAAGGCATTTCCGCCCACAGAACTGCCGCTCACTGGATATTTTTTCTTTTTCGGACCATTCTCTGTAAACCCTAGAGATGGTTGTGCGTGAAAATCCCAGTAGATCAGCAGTTTCTGAAATACTCAGACCAGCCCTTCTGGCACCAACAACCATGCCACGTTCAAAGTCACTCAAATCACCTTTCTTCCCCATACTGATGCTCGGTTTGAACTGCAGGAGATTGTCTTGACCATGTCTACATGCCTAAATGCACTAAGTTGCCGCCATGTGATTGGCTGATTAGAAATTAAGTGTTAACGAGCAGTTGGACAGGTATACCTAATAAAGTGGCCGGTGAGTGTATATTCATCTTATCCTCATTTATTGCATGGATGTTGTACCATCATTTATCCTGTAATAAACAGATTTATTTTTCTAAGTTCTTGTCTGTTAGTGTTCTTCCAGAAGTGGAGTCCCTGAAATGAGAATTTTGGCTTGAGATACGAGATTGATTAATTTAAGATTAACTTAATGTTTGATTTCTGAATTAAACTTTTGTTTTTCTTTATTTTCCCACCATTAAAGGTGGATGGTGCCCCTTTGAACGAGAGCATAAATGTCATAAATGAAGATTATTATCAAATATTAATCATCAAGATATTTATTATAAATTCAAATCGCTACAAAAGGGGCCTGAAAATCTATCACTAGGAGCATCTACCAGCTACTCAATAGTTGACCGGTGAACTATTTCAACCACTAGTCAGTGCTGTATGCAACAACCATTTAGTCATGGACCAAACAGCAGATAAACAGCTAGCCATAGACTTGTGGCTCAAAGCTGAGGCCAAAACAGGCTCAATATTTATATGTATGGAAATACTTCACTGAGAACGACAGAAACATGACGGAAGATTACTTTGCAGTGACATTGTCTTTCAACAGCTGTCAATCTTCCATCCCTCCCACATTTTGACGCTGTAGTTTCGCTCATTGTAAAGAAAGGTTATGAGGCGGACAGTGGCTCCAAGTAAACCGTTGCACCCTGGATTTGTTGTTGTTTTAAATAATCACTGCAGAGTTTTGGCTTTAACTTTGTAAGTCAAGTTTCTGTTCATATGTCATTGGCTGAATGAAAAAAATGCAGCTGTTTACTGTTGAAGTTTTTCAGGGTTGTTTCATGTATCATTCCAAGCACGAATAAAAGATGCCAAAATATGCAGTGTGAGGCTATATTTTAACATCCGTAGTCATGGCAACCCTACTGCACGGACACTCAAGAGGATGCATCTCTTTGATATAAAGAGATCATTTGTGCTTTGCTTTAAAGAGGTATACACCATTTTTACCCCTTTTATCTTCATAAAATGTGAATCTGAATTATGTCACATTATCACGGATGCCACCACCACTTTTTCAAAAGCCCGTCTGAAAATCAGTGTTACTTTACGTTGTAGCAGACCGATACTGGTCAGGCACTAGGACCAAACGGCCACCCAAGCTGAAAACTGGTCTCCCTCAGTTTGGACTGCCCACAAGGCATACCTGCCAACACTCCCGTTTTTCCCAGGACTCTCCCTTATCTCAGACCTATCTCCCACCCACCTTCGGTATCGTCATTTCTATTGGGAACCCCCTGTGGTTTGCAAGGTTGGATCACTATTTTTGTCCAAAGTTGCCAGGTTTCCAGACAACCGAAGATTGTTCTTTGTTTCTGCTGAGCCTCAGAGACACTGGGTTGATACTTTTACTTCACAATTTGGGATGATTCAGGTAGGTTTAGGCTGTAAACTATATTTAAGCAGTGTTTGTTGCAAAATGAACACTTCAATAAAAGGGAAACAAACGTGACATATAGTATTTACGTTGATAGTCTTGCACCCTCTTGGAGTGATGCTTTCAGGGCAGCCTCAGCTAAAGATGTTCAGAAAGCCTTATACGGGGGAGCATGTAAAACATATGAGGACTTTAACACTACTATTAGTTTACTAAATTAAGGCATATCGTAGCTATTATTTTTTTTATTGCCATTTGTTATTGTTAAAACAAAACAAAAAATGTGCAGCTTCACTTATACTTATTTGGATGAGCAATTTATTTACAAATACTCTTATAATTAGCTAATATCCACCATACAAGATAACCCTAAAACTGCTCAGCGCCGCAAAAATCTCCTGGATGGCAGGTATACCACAAGGTTCTTGATTGGTTCTGCTGTAGGGCCGCTTTTTGTGTGTGATTGGCTATCCCTGCTGTCAGTCCTTCCATGCCGGCCGGACTCGTGTTTTGCAAGTTGAACATCCGAGTCAGTCCGTGAACATTGCTATTCGTCCGTTCGCTATTCGCTGATGTAAGTTTACAGGAGGGCGGCATTCATTTTCCCTCCGTAACATCACATTCATCAGAGTAATCATTTACATCTCTCTCTGTTGTACTTCAATCCACACCCTGGCTGTATTGCCTCCTCCTGTCTGTGCGACATGTGCTGTTTGCTAGGCTAAAGGCGGGAACTGAATCCTGGAATAAATGAAGAAATCTGAGCTGAACATTGACGTATGAATCCACGTGTCACATCAGTACTCAAGTCATATGTGTCCCCCCACCTTTGAAACCAAAATTTCATCCATGCACGTTACAGTGCAATGCTGCACAACACTTCTTTCATCATTCATAGGAACCCTTTTTTCCTGCATCTTCATCACAAAACAACTAGTTGACTATTTTGTAAAACTTCTGTCTAGAAAAAAGAAGTAGCTGTGAAACCCCTTGCATCGGCACTATGGTGGTTTATCTCAGAAAGGAGGACTTACCCACTGCTTTGACATTGTAAGACAGACTGTGAGCAGCCAGAACTGAATCAGACAGACTTTGCAGATTAGAAGAAGTTCATGGATCTTGAAGGATAAATGTATTTGGGTTCAATCTTTTACCAGACTCATATTGTTGAGACTCTCTGTTTCTTTCAACCAGCAACTTGTTAACTTTAATCAATTTTGACCATAACCAATGAATATGTGACACTTCAAAACAAATCTGGGACTCAGATGCAGAGAAGAAAGGGCCTGATCTACTAAAAGGTTTGCGTGTATAAAAACACATGCAAACTTAATAACATGTGCAAAGCTGATCTATTAACCCTGTGCACCCAGGATTGCCTCTGTAAAATGAGCAAAATAGCACACGCAATCCATTTAGCGTGTTTGTCTTCATGAGTATGCAGAATGTGTGCAGATTTTCAGAACACGCAAAATACTTGGAGGAGGAAATGTAAATAGAATCATTTAGCACCCACAGTGTGTCAAACCCCAGTTTTTACTGGGACAATGAATTTACCTACTTTGCATTCTAGTCAGCATCTAAACACCAGCAAATCAGAAAAGAATGGAATTTAAATTAATTCACAACATTGTAAGACGTCTTACTCTGCAACATGGTGACACAACAATGGCTGGAGACTCAGTTTGGGTTATGTCCTAAGTTTAGGAAAGGCTGCAGCAGACAGACAAAAGACAAAACACAAATCCAGTTCATAAGATCCGTCATTTGGTGCAGAAAATAGTTCTTATTTCCATAATGTGCAATTCCCCTTTTCTTGACCTCAGTAGCGGTTCTAGGCACGGGCGAACAGGGCAGCCGCCCGGGGCGGCATTTGTGCCATGACTTATGGGGGGCGGCACAAGCACTTCCAAAAAAATAAAATAAAAGATAATAATAATAAATCTTAATCGCAAAGCGGTTTTGTATTAACTCTTGTTGTCAAATTGGCGCCCCCCCCCCCCCCCCACTGCTGTAGGCGTCCCTGCTTGCTCCGAAGGTGCTGCACAGAGGCTAACAGACTGTATGAGACGAGGCGGGGAGAGGTCTCGCGGGGGGGACAGCTCTGCTCTGTGTACGCATGTCAGCATATCAGGGAGCGCGGCTGCGCATTTCTACTCTGCCGGAAGCGCGGATACGTCATTTTGTAACATTCTGTAGTTTTTTAATCATTTCTGGAGTCGTGGTGAATCAAATCACCGTACCCGTCTGCCTCTGATAGGCGAATAAAGCGCTCGGGTTCATGCTCGGATCTTGCTACGTGCTTGATGAGCTTCATGAGTAAAGTAAACAATGACTGAGGCAGAGAGCAGCTTCAGAGGAGAAACATCCAGCAGTGTGAACAACCTCTTCATATGGAGTGCTTTGGCTCACACTATCAGTGATTTCTGTGAGTGTTGCATGACTTTGGGTGAGAACAGAGATGAACACACTGTCAGCCACGTATTTATTTATTCATTTTTTAGTTTTTAGTTCTGCTTTTGTACTGGCACTATACTGGGGCAGCTGTATACCCTTTCAACACCTTATTTTCTATATTTACATTTGTATTGAATGGACACTTTATCATGTCTGCCACTTGTTTTACAGAAAACAAATTATTTGTCATTCTCCAGTGCAGAGCCTTTACTTGTATTTATACAGCCGCTTTATTTCATTTAAGTCTGTTTGTTTAAGGTTTTCAAAAATGTGATGAAGGTTCCCAAAACTAAAAGATAGCTTTCTTGAAAGCCACATGTATAAGCTCTCAAATACTTTTTGAATTTTGTTTCTATCTACTACAGAGGCCGAGATAGCAGCTTTTTTGTAAACCTTAACACGTCAGAAAACCTCAGGATCTGGGGGCCCTTCTCAAAATGGCCCTCAGGATTGTGTTTTTTTCTATTGAAGGATTTCTGCAATTGAGAAATATTTAATTTTGTTGTTCTAATCATAATAATACTACATAATAATGCAAAACTATCTGTTCAAAATTCTCTCTTTTTGTGTTGTGTGTGTGTGTGTGTGTGTGTGTGTGTGTGTGGGGGGGGGGGGGGGGGGGCTTGTAGGGGTGCTCGCCCGGGGAGTAATTTGGTCTAGAACCGCCACTGCTTGACCTTCAGTTTTAATAAGTTTCAATGTAACTTCAGGGAAAGTAATTAGGACCTGTTCTTTGTGTAGTGTAACAATTTACTGCTATAAAATTAATTAACAAACTGTGTGCACAATTTTGATTTTCTAAACCATGTGTGCAATGACTTCAATACAATGTTCTGTTTTAAATTCACCTACATTAAAACTACAAATTAAAATGCAAATAAATGGCCTGGCTAGAAGGGGCACTTGGG